GAAGCTCTACTCCTAAAGCCCTGGAGCCCCAAAGCGTTCAGGCAACGGCTTCTGTAAGAGTTTCAGGTTTGAAAGCAACTTCGGGCTTGAAGGCTTAAGGGTGGGGCTTTGCCTGGTTTTGTGGGGGTATAATCTGTTGTAACCTACTATGATATACTATAACTACTGTAAATATACGATAATCTACTATAATCTACTATAGTTTACTGCAATATGCAATCCGCCGATCCCGGGCGGCGCCCAGAAGTTGTGTTTCAGCGTTTCGTGTTGTGTAGCGACAGGCCCGACTTCTCAGTGCTTACTGGAGGCCTTTGCCTCTGCGCTCTGTGGACCTCCTGCCCTGTGCGCCTCAACCGTCTTCAACGCCCACCACGCGGAAGCCCCCGAAACGGCGGGCATCATCAGCATCAGCGGGGTGTGGCGGACGGGGTGGAGAGAGGGACGGGGATCATCGGAGGTCGTCTAACTGTGGGGATCGAAGCGGGGGGGCGGGGGGAACACAAGGAGAAGAGTCGGGGCAGGAGGCAGGCACGCGTCGCGGGGGCGCGTTCTCTTGTGGGCATGCTGTCTGCAGTCGCGCCCGGCTAGCTCCGGGCCGATACCTGCGCTGCCCGCCCGTGGGCGCAGCCCCTAGAAGAGTCTACTATAACTTAATCATATACAAGGGCCACGTCTGAGTCGCATGCTCCAATCCAAACTACGGGGTTTAGGGTTCACGGCCTCAGCTCGGTTTGGAACCCACATTTTCGTTTAAGGACTAGAAAGTTTTTTTGGGGGTCAGACGAAAGCTGCGAACATCTAGAAAGATAGGGCTCAGTTTGGCTCTGTTGGGCTACATGTTTTTTTTTGAGATCGGGTGCTTCGGGGGTTTCGGCCCTCGGGTCTTTCTGACGAGTTGAGTTCTGATTTCATCATGGTTTCAGCTCTGGCGGTTCAACGGACAGCATCCGACAAGTGAATCTGAATGAGCACAAGGAGAGGACAGGAAGAGTAAGTAGCACTGCTGATGCTGCCACTACCACAGACCTTTTCAACAAAGCGTCCCTGGATCAGAAAGAACCACCGATGTGCAGCCCACTTTGATCCTAAAGCCTGAGCCCATAACCCTAAATCCTGAACTCTACATCCTTAACTTCAAGGCCTAAATCCTCAAACCTAAATTTACGAACCCTAAACCCTAAACCCTAAGCCCCAAAACCATAACCCTAAACCCTAAACCCTAAACCCTAAACCTCAACCCCAAAACCCCAAAACCATAAATTTACCGCGCCCTAATTGCACCCACTGGAATCCTGGAGGGCGCCCTGGCGGCATCCGTCATTGTTGGTGGCCTTGGTCTGGCTTTCAGGGCTTGGGAATTTTGGGATTTAGGCTTAGGGTTTGGGATTTAGAGTTTAGGGTTTGGGATTTAGGGTTTGGGGTTTGGGATTTAGGGTTTAGGGTTTGGGATTTAGGGTTTAGGGTTTGGGATTTGGGGGGTTTGGGATTTAGGGTTTAGGGTTTCGGGGGTCTGCCATGGCAGGAAATCTGAGGTTGAGGACCTCTTTCGTTTCTTAAATCTTTGCTTTGCTGGGCTTGGGGTTTGAAGGCTGATCTCCTCGGGCCAGGGCTGAAGCTTCAGGGGTTTAGGGTACCAGAGCTCAGGGCGGCAGGGTCCAGGAGGGCTGAAGGGATGTCTGCCTTTTAGGGCTTCCCCTTATGCGGCGGGGAAGGAACATAATGCTCCTGGTTTAGGGTTTAGGGTTTTAGGGCTTAGGGTTTATGGTTTTGCTCGTTGTCACACGCAAAGATGATAGAGTGATAAAGCAGTATATTGGAGAGAGCCTGCGAATCTGATCGCCATCCACCATGCGCTCTGCCGATCCGCAGAAGGCCAGGCGGACAAACAATGGCTGGAGTTCCTAAGCCCTAAACCCCAAAATTCTAAATCCTGAACCCACGACTTGTATGGAAACCAAGGCTTGGAAACGCCGGCCAGCCTGGGTGTGCTCACATCCCTTGTAGCCGTTTGCTTCAGAAATTTTGCCTTGCCATTGACCTCCAGATCAACCACCCCGAACATGGCCTCATTAATATCTTACGGGGGGCTTACTTGGTCTTGTCCCCAGTAGCCTTCACAGAAGCATAAAGATCGTACAGTCTAGGGTTGCTGGAATCCTCATGACAACTGTCTGTGTGTACGTGTGTGGGCTTCTGTCTCTGTGTGTGTGTGTGCATGTGTGCTTTTGGAGCCTTCCGAAACATGTGCTTCTACTGCGCTGACCTGAGCAAACCATGATGCTGGTCTCCCCAATTTCTGAATGTTTCTTCACCAATATTCAATTGTCCTTTGCCAACCTCGACTTACATCACTGCTTTAGTTTTGAGGGTTCTAGATTAACTAGGGCCTAGCTAAGGGTTAGGGCTTCGGGGTCTTCCAGGGCCTCGGTCATACGGGTTAGAGTCTGCCACGGCTCTAGGTTAGGGTGAAGGGCCTCGTACACGAGCTTCAGGAATAGACGCCAAGAGTAGACCCTAAATAGTAGCGTTCTGTCCTCAAACATCCTCACAAAAGACGTCTAGCATGATAACCCTGTGAAACACCCTGTAAACCTTGTGCAGAGCTGTATCTTCGCAAGGCCTGCAAGACTTTCTGGCTGGGCTGCTGGCAGAAGCTTGTGGAGGTCGACCTTGTGGGCGCAGCAGTTGTTCAAGGGGTTTAGGGGTTTTGGGGTTTAGGGTTTAGGAATGTGTTGGGGATCCTTGTTTTGGGTGGTCCTTCTGTTGAAGCTCCGGGGGATGTGCGAAGCTCGGGAGTGCCTTTTCAGAGGGCCGTTTCGGAGATTCTCATATTTGTGGTAACTTGAACCCAAAACCCTCCGAAGCCTTTCAGAAGTGTTCCTTAATAAGAACCTGGCAAAACCGTGGTTCGGCCTCCCCAATCTTAAACGTCGAGACTCCAATGGAAGCTTGTTCAAATGCTTTTTTCATGGCTATGTGGAAATCAAAGGTTGCATAGGGCTTCGACAGAATTCTTCGGCTGCTAGATCGTGCTTTATAGTATGGCACAACCTTGCAACTTTCCTGGCAGTCTGGCTGCTTATGCGTAGGCGCAAGCCTCGAAGTTAAGGATCTTCGAATCTCTCTCTGAGGCTCGCCACTCCAGGACCTATCATTAAACATCGTAGTAGGATTAGTACAAGCTGTTAGTGACAGGAATAAGAACAGGAACAGCATAAATAAGAGTACGAATAGCAGGAGCAACAGCCAGTAGCACATTACTACTTAGTATCGCAATACAATTGATCGACGAAATCCTGCATCAGGCTTCTTACGCCAGCCATCCCTTGATGCTAACACTGGCATGCGCGCGCGCATGGTCTAAACCCTGCATGGCCAGGCTATGTTACCACCATTGCGATGTGAGGGCTGCGGGAGTTCGATCACTGACGACTGCAACTGTATGCTTCTGATCTAAGGGTCATGCACGTTCTTGTCCATCCACGGTAGCACTAGTCATAACGATCTTCAAAGCACTCGTAATCCTGCTGCAAGTAAGTCAACGAGTAGGACGAACTTAGTTTAAGGTGTTTGGGCTCCAATTGTGTGGCCATCGCTTGTACTGCTTGAGATTGCCTTGTTCAGGTTCGCATTTTCAAGGTTTAGTATTGCAGGGTTTAGGGTCCAGGGTTCGGGTTTGGCTTCTAAACCCTAAGCCCCTAAACTTCAACAATTCAAAGCTTTCCGGGGGCTTCTTAGGCCTATGCTCTCTCGGAATGCAGCGGGAGCTTCACCAGGAGCCCTCAGCTCGGAACTCAGCAGCGTCCATTCAAAACAGCCGTACTGCTACAGAATCAACCCTAAACTCTGAACCCAGCCTTCCCATGTTTACAGGAACCCTAAACCCTCAGCTTCTGACCCCTAAGCTAAGCCAGGCACTGAGTTCGGGTCATGCACAAGCGCTCCCTTTTGACTCGTCATCCGGCCGAAAAAACTGAGGAAAGGCAGCGCCGCCTGTGGGGGGGCGGCATCGGGCACAGGGTTTAGGGCTTTAGGCGGGGCTTAATTAGCGCTCCACTCTGGCCGTCGCTGGCAGTCGCAGTACAACCGGCGGGCCGAACTCGGACTCTACAAGTACGGCGAAGAAGAGTTGCGCCATAACACTTACGGAGCGAGGACGAACTGTAGCTACCTGACGGCTGCGAGCCGCCTGGCGCGACGTTGCGGAGTGCATTGTACATCCGACCTGGACTGCAGCATGCTTGCACCGTTGGTTTTCGTTTCTGACCGCTGTGATATCACGCTGACGTAGATTTGATCTGTTCCTCGGTGTGCTTCGTTCATTCGTCCTTTGCACCTTTGGCTTTGCTGCCTCTCGCCACGCGGCCAGTTCGGATCATGGCTTACTTCGGTCACGCCTTCTTTGCAAAATTCGCTTTGCTGTATCTCCGTGCAATTGCTAAACCCAACGTAGCTTACCTCCATCGCAGTTTCGCACCCGGCAACCCTGTAGGCCCGCGCTTAGCTCAGGATCTTCCAGGACGCCGCCTCTTGGTAGGATCTTGAAGGTAGAGCCCCCTTGTCGGTAACGGAATGTAGAATAGGGTTCCTTTAAGCCTTCAAGGCTTCCTTAAACGGGGTTGCAATGGCCTTAAGTCATAGGGACCTTAATCATCCGAAGGTTTGGAGGTTAGGTTATATGCTATACGGATAACAGAGACCCTTACGGACTAGTATTTCTGATCACCCAGGCCTCTGAATGGTGCCACTAAATCTACATCTTGGGAAGCCACTTAGGGATCTGGTTCTCCCTAAACCTGCATCCCTAAAACCTATAGGTCCTAATCCGCCTGATCCCGACAACCCTATTAAACCCTAATCCCAAAGCCCAAACTAAATCTCTAAGCCCCAAAACCCCAAGCCCTAAGCCCTGAACCCTAAATCCTAAGCCCTGAACCCCAAATCCTACATCCCCAAGCCCAAAACCCGACAGCCTTTTCAGTCGGAGCCTTCCACAAGGGTCAGGACTTCTGGGCCAGGGCCGCCATCTCAGCAATGCCTCATCGACTCGGCTCGTAAGGAAGGTTTAAGGTTTTGGGGTTTCCGGTTTTCAGGGGCCTTAGGCTTTTAGGGGCTTTAGGGTTTTAGGGGTTTTAGGTTTTTAGGGGTTTTCGGGATGCGCCGGAGAGGGTTTCAGGGTGTTAGGGGTTAGGGTGGCACAATCAGCCATGCTGCTGCAGAATAGAGACGAACACATGTCCCGTAGCCCTGAGCCCGAAGCAGGGACACTAAGGGAGGATGTCGGGCACCAGAACAGCGCGTCCAACATCGGACTGCCGAAGTGCACCGACAAGGGGAATGGGTGTTCTTCGCTCCGGAGGCGAAAACACCAAACCTAAAGCCTAAACCCTAAACTCTAAACCCCTAAACCCTAAACCCCTAAACCCTAAACCCCTAAACTCCCTAAACCCCAAACCCTACATCCTCAAGTCCAGGTGGCGCTTGCTGCGAGTCTCCGTCTTCACCGACATCTTCCTTACGGCTAGGGCCGGTTTTTTCTGCGCGTCACAGATTCAATCCGGTGAGGCTTTTCAAGAGGAGTGTAGGATTCTGCCGGAGAATCATTGCTCCAACGGTACCACCCTGTTCTTTAGCCCTCAGCCCAAAAACCCCATATATATACTTCCTAAACCCCAAACCCTAAAGCCCCAAAATGCGCCCGAAACCCTAAACCCTAAACCCTAAACCCTAAACCCTGAACCCTAAACCCTGAACCCTAAACCCTAACTGCTTGTTCAGGGCTGGCTCAACTCCTTCGTGGATGGTATTGCACGCTTTCCGACAGTGCTGCCCCA